TACATACAAACAATAATAAAAACGCAGCGGAAATGTTAACGCGGCCCGGCCAAAATACGTAACACGATTCACAGTGTGAATTTCACACTAAATGTTGCATTTGTCCTGCAACCACTTTCGATCTAATTAAACCAATGATATTGAACGTAATTTAATCACGTGGTCCCAACACGCCCATTCGAAAGCCTGTAATGGTTTGCGACCTTAAAACAAACCCGTTAGCCTCAACAATTATACACTAGATGGCGTGGTATTCGGGCATCGATCAATGAACCGATACGAAGCGCCAAGCGGGACATTTAATTATTTGCTTGGAAACTATAGTGTTATAACAAGAAAGTTACTAAGAAATTAAAAAAAATATATATCGATGATATTATTATAATCATAATTTATTTCTTCCTTCTTGGGTGATTTTTTTGGGGGTTGTGCAAACCTGCAAACCTTAGGTAGAGCCGCCACTGGTTTATGCTTATTTTCCACAAATTTCTTGTTTAGCAGTTACTGCCTTTCTCCATAGTAGGGCAGTATAGGCCTATTTAAAAATCGATTAACTACACAGTAAAAAAATATTTGTTAATTTTAACCAGATTTTTCGTTAATCCAGGTCTACATAACTTAATGTTAAGTTTACAACCAACTGTAATCTGTAATTGATAGATCTGCTTCTCAAAGTTGGAATTTCCAAACGACTTTGGGGTCCACTTGTACCCCAAGGATCAAATATCTTTTCAGGGATCAAATACTATAAAATGAAAAAAGCACTGTCTGCGATTAATGCCACAGCATAAGGACAATATTATGCTCTGTTAAACCACACATGGCATGTCGCATCGTATAATTAAACTACTCAGAAGCCATAGGCCGTAACTAGGGAATGCAATCTTGCAGAAAAATGTACAATCTTGGTATTGCAAGATTTAAGAGGTGTAATCTCGCAAGATCTCGGTATTTTGCGAGATCTCGCAGATTTAAGATTAATAAAAAATAAATTAGTATAATTATTTGTATTACAACTTTGTTAGGTTACATCGTAAGGGCAAAATAATAAAATAAAACATAAATTAAATAATTTATTTAAGACTATTCCACTCATTACTTTATGGACCAATCAGATTTCAGAAAACGAGTGGTTTTTTCAGTTTTGCAGCGATAAAACTACTGTTTAACTGAAAAAAACATACGGTTGCTATGCGAAAAATAATTGTTAATGTTGACATTTCTAAAGTAAAAATGTCAAAAAATATGCGTTTTGGTCAAATCATACAGAAATTGAATTAGCAGTTAATTCTAGTTAAAAAAAATATTTGAATTATAGATTATTTTGAAAATGACTTCTCAAAAACACAAAACACACATGGAATGCGCTGCGACCTAATCTCGCAAATCTTGCGAGATCGCGCATGATTTTAGTGCAAGACTAATATTGCAGAATTAGTGCGAGATCTTGCTATTTTGAGATCTTGGTATACCAAGATTGCATTCCCTAGCCATCTATTTTTAAATAAGCTTAATAGGCTGGGGTATTATACCCTATAATATGTGTTCCCCAAGCATTTTAGGGTTAATACCTATTATTCAATAATTATTGCATAATATACTAATCGAAATTTATAATAATAATAATAATAATAATAATAATAATAATAATAATAATAATAATAATAATAATAATAATAATAATAATAATAATAATAATAATAATAATAATAATAATAATAATAATAATAATAACGTTTATTGAAAGATTAAACAGAAGGATTTAACAGAAAAAATCTTGATCTATAAAGAGTGTCTCGTTCATTCTTATTATTCAAAAATTAACAAGATACTTGGAAAATGTATCAATTAAACCGACTGTACCAAAAAAAGTGGAACAAAAAAGAAGTCTACAAAAAAAATAATACAAAAAAATGTTAAAAAATGTTCAAATAAATGTTAATTAAAATTTTTTAAAAACTGTTAAATAAAATGTTGAATTAATTTTGCGTCAAAAATTCTCTTAATTTTACTTAGCCAAAAATGAGAATGTCACGTTTTTATTTCCCATAATTTTATATTTTTTTTAATTTTTGTCAAAATTGACGGATTCTTGTTATTAACACACATACGTAATTTATTAAGCTTTTTACGTGACAAATCGAGTTTAGTTTCGATTCTCGTGAACTTTTTTGTCTTTACGCCGCCGCGGGCTCATTTATTTATTTGTATTATAGCTATAATAATTAATTAATAAACGTCAAATTTGGAGAATTTTACCAAGAAAAAAACCATATGTATATAATTTGTAAACATCCAATAGTTTAAGCATACTTATGAATTAAATAATATTGATGCATTTATTAATTAATTGTGGTTGAAATTTTCTATTTTTTTATTTTAATAGCATCGCTGTCCAAATTTCATAAAAATCGCAAGTTTAGTTAAAGTTATCGCGAGTTAATTAAGGTAATTTAAAGAATTTTGTTGAAATTCAACGGTCTCCATGCAGTTCATCCCCTCTCTTGCCTACTGGCCACGCGCTGCGTCGGTTCTGCTTTCCGGGCGTTCAATTGTGAATCTTTAAATTTCCGAAAACCAGTGGCGTAATAAGCACCCCCGCAGACCCCGCACCGCGGGGGGGCCCAGACGGTCAGGGGGCCCAAGGCTCACCTCACTCTTTTAAAAGTTTAAACCAATAAATTAAAGAAATATTTAATTTAAATATTTCATCTTAAAAAAAATAAAAATCCTAAAAACCTAAACGTATAAGTATTTTTTGTTTAAAATATTTATTTAATTCGTTGATTTTGAACATGCGCACGAAATAAAATGCGGTTGTAGCGCCATCTATTAAACGCTTTTCCAAATATTAATATTTGCTAAATTAACAATGTTATTTGTTATATTTTAATTCTATGTTTATTTGGTTTGAAAGTTATGCAAACATTATTTGTTAAAAATAGTTAAAATTTAACAATTTTTAAAAAATTAAATTAAATGCAATACGACAAAATATTAACTTTATAGAATTACCATGGTGGATAAAGAGGCAACCAAAATTAATTATATATTTTCTGTTTTACTACCAAAAATTGCAGATACAGGCTTTATCTTAATATTTAATTAATTTTAGTTTAAAAAATCTTATTCTATAGAATATATATATACCTTTTTATTTGCAGGATCATTTTCGTAATTCTATAATAGGATTATTTTAAAAAAATATTTAAATAATAATTACCCAAATATTTTCTGTTTATATATAATTATAATTCCGTTAACAAACGATAACTACCTACACATGAACTTAAATAAGTTTTTACGCATGAGCGAATTTGCAAAGAAGCATATTTTCGATAAACAGTTTTTATTAAAAACACAGCCATTTTTCTTACCTAATCCTTTTTTATTTGCTTATCTTATGTGACATAAGTTATGCCTGTCTATCGTATACACTCTTTATCTACCTGTTAAAAATTTTAACTAAAAAATATTATGTATTTAATTGGGTTTGAAAGTACTATGATAAACTAATTTAAAAATTACCTAAAGGTAATAATAAACTTTTTACTCATTGTAAAGGGGGCCCATTAAAATCGTTTGCGGGGGAGCCCACTCAGAATTTGTTACGCCACTGCCGAAAACTACTTGAGTTTCAATTCAATAAGTAGAATTAAGGTTGCAGGTCCAGGCACGATGCAGCGCGCGGCGCCCAAACATAAAAACGTGTTTCTCTACGACTACTTAAGAATAGTAACATTCTAGTGTAATTTTTGATCATAGAAAGGATGTTTTTCTGCAATACTGTGCGAGAATATTCCTACTCTTGTTTAAGAATGGCATATACTTAATGGTAAGTATATGAAGAATGGTCACAAGTTACGACATCTCCTGGCTGTTTACTAAACGTAAAAAATTTAAAAATATTTAAATATTACTGTATTATTTATTAATTAAAAAATAATAGCAGTTGTATAATTAAGGTTTAGGCACAAAAAATTAGTTATATTTATTGTTTTTTAAATATACAAATCAAAATTATAATAAATTTGATAATAAAATGATAAACCAGTTACCTACTATACCGGCTTTGAAGTTTTGACAGACTCAAAAAGTTTAAAAAAAGACCTTTAAAATGTAAAAAAGAATAGATGTTGACATAGATTACTTGTAAAATTAGTTTTGTATTTGTTACAATGAAATTTTTTTTATTAGTTAGTGTAAATAACTATTTTTAATTATAATAAAGATTTAGGCATACCATTTGTTTAAATTTATTATAATTTACATGATAAAATTGTGACGGCACAAAATGGTTTGACAATACAAAAAACTTAAATGTCAAAAACTGCTTGGTTTCTTTTCTCTGTTTAAAATTATATAAGCGTTACTATTCTTACGTAGTCGTAGAGAAAATAATGTCTGAAACACGTTTGGAATAGCATATTCCACTCTCGTAAAACCGTCACACTCGCCTTCGGCTCGTGTGTCAAATTTTTCCTCGAGCGGAATATGCTGTATTCCAAACTTGTTACAGAATGTACTATTATGCATGCCTAACTTTCGATAACATAAAAGTTTAGAAGTTTTTTCAAAATATTCGTTACTAAATCAGCTTTCATAATCTGTCAAAATAAACATTAAAATCGATCGAGATGTTACAACAAAATTAATTTTTAATATTCACGACCTTCCAAATAATAGTGCCTCACTTGGCAGATTTTGACTCCTGTATATAACTCAAAAAGTACTCGTCGGAAAAAATACCTAAAATAACCTCACTACAGCGTGTCATACCGTTAATATCAATGGGCAAAAAGGGAGTTCTCCCAAATTTTAAGGGGCAATAATTACGATTTCTAAATCATTATAAATTATAAAAGTTTTCATTCAAAAAGAGGCCCTGACTATTCAACGATTAATTTGTAATTTTCTATTTTATTACACATAATGTGTATGCATATTACCTACACTATAAAAAATGCAAATAAGTGATTGCCTATTTTTTTGTATTTCAGTTCAAAAAGAGGCCTTGACTTGGGACTCGGGCGTGGCTTTTCTGGATCGCAGGCAGCAAAACACTTGATGGGCTTGGCTGCAGCCAACTTTGCAGGCGGCCCTGGAAGAAGACGTCGCAGCGAGGACGTCGATGAAGAATAAAAAGAATCGCTGGCCACCAAAGAAAATTCGTTTTTAACAGTTCCTCCAAATAAAAAATCCCTACCCCAACCCATATGTCAGTAGTCGTAAATCGTAGTATAATAAATATATTAATTAGGACTACTTGTATTGTATTCAATCAATGATTAATATTCTACTGTTACTGTCTTAATTATTAGTTAATAAAGCATGGATATTTAAGCATTTAAGTTGATTGTGTATAATTATTAGTCAATAAGTTAATTGTACAGCAAATCTTATTTAAATAAAACTTCTAAATCATTTTTTTTTTGTTATACTTTTCATAGCCAAGTCGTTTTAAATAAATTTGAAAATATATAAAAATTAAATGGACGAAACTTAATAGAGTAATACAGAGTTAAAAGTTGATAATAACTAAACAATTTTGTTTTTGATTTTACCCATTTAAAAAATAGGCATTTGGAGGGTTTTTTCAGTTTTGCAAGTTTTACTAGGTAGTAGAGGATTTATTATTACCATCGATATACTAAGCTTAAAAATGTTCTTTTAGTGGATATTCATATGGTGTAATATTATATAACGAAAAGGTAATTGAAGAATATAAATTAAAAACAGCTTTTTTATTGTCATAAATATCCCCTAGTATTTTCAAGCCTCAATTACGCACATACTGAGTTTTTCCTTGCCCGTATGTAAGTTTTAATTCTATTCAGCGAAAATGACCGGAAGTAGTGATGCCTTGCAGCCTCCAGTCTCCTCTCGTCTCGCTTCTCGTACGAGAGTCTTGCAAAAGTATCGAAATCTCGTCATGCATAATCTTGTTTATACACTAGTTTACAGCCAGTTTGCCCACCATGTCTTAAACACTTAAATTTTTTTTTCATGGAATCGTTTTCGAGATACTTCGAGTTTTAATTGATCGAATCAAAGGTAATTGAGCCATCTACAACGTTCTCTTGTATAGTTTTGGTATCGGCTCAGTAGTTCGATACTGGCAATTTTATGAAGTTGAAAAAGTCCTTTTTTTTTACAAAAATCGAGGTCAAAAATTTACATCTTTCTGGGAAAAATAGAAATCGAAAAGAAAAGTCCAGTTTGATTTATTTTACGTATAGATTATACTTAAAAGAAAAAAATAAGCTGCTGTTGATAAAAATCCATGGATAAATGACAAAGTTATGAATTTTTCAGTGAAAGACCAAAATTCATTTTTTTTTAAAGTTTAATATTGAACAATGATGTTTATTTTAAAAATGAAATATTGAAATTAAATTATATATTGAATATTGAACAATAAACATTGAACATTGAAAACATTAAAAGTTTCATTTTGTTGTAATAAGTATAGGTTTAAAAAAAATCTGGCTCCCTTTTTGTTTTTTGTTGCTTTCGTATTCCGTTTCTCGTATAAGGGACCAAATGAAATCACCCATCATGGCTGCATCCCAGAAGCTGTGATACCGCCGCTCCATAGCCTTCATTTGCTGGTGAAAACGTTCTCCGTGCTCCTCACTAACGTCGCTACGCGGCGGTTTAGGCCTATTTTTGTAACTTTAGGCCTAAAACAGCCTAAAATGTAGGTTTTTATTGCCTATTTAAGTCTCCTAATTTCCAATTTTTAACGGCCTAAAATCCGGTCTTTGGTTATTAGTAATATACTATTAATAGCTATTAATAGTATATTATGTATCAAGTTTTATAAACGCCATTTTAGTTAAGAATTTTATTAGGCACTAGCGAAGGTTGCGAGCGAGTGTTTGATAAAAACGAGTGTCTATACTTGGATAGAATTTATCGAAAAGGAACCAAGGGCTAAAAACTTTTTCTGGGGTAAACAAAATTATTTGCAAAATAACTCATTTTTAATGCGCCTCAAAAAATTAATTTAGGAATCCTTTTGAGAAAAGTTTCAAATTGTAACGTTTTTAACTGTCCGTAGTGTGAATTAAAACACGCACTGGTTAATTAACGAACTAAACTATTTATTTAATAACGTAACTACACTTAAAACACTATAAAACTAACTAAACACTTAACTACTAATTATTTATATCACTACTACTTTATTTATTTGCACTTATATTTATTTATTTCTTCGCGCGTACCAAAGCTCAACTCACTGCCCTGTTGCTCCGTTTCTTATATATTCAACGCCCAAGTATTCTGGAACATTCCAGCGAGCTCCACACTCTCGATTATTCGAGCGCTGAGTCACCGGAGATGACTCACCGGCAATGACTAATCGGCGATGAGTCATCACTCCGATATCCAGAGCGGTACTCGCTACATTGCCCCCGTCTTAAAACATTTTCGTCCCGAAAATGGTCCTCAGCTCCATGGCGATATTTGCATAGAGATCCAAACTTGCATTGTGACGTCCTATAGAAGTAGCAGTCTACGGTCTTCCTTCCGGTTGTTCTTTTAGGGTTGTGGCAACAGACAAGAATGTGTATGCCACTAAATCTGAAGATAACTTCCACCATACTTCTAATTATTCTCCAGTCCAAACCGTCAAGTCCACAAGCAATCTTTGGTATCGCCAGGTTCATGATGTCCTTGGACAAAAGGGTATCCCTCAATTTATTTAAGGCATTCCATACGTCACGGTAGTTTGGCTTATGATGGGAGAGCTGCTTCGTTACCAGATAGAAGATACTTCTATTGCCTATCTGCACATTATCCACAATTTCAAGTACCTCTCCAACTTTGGGATTCTGCCTTCGTAGCTCGTCAACCCGTCCAAACTTGTTTTTAAAGACAACCGCTATTCCCCTGGAAATCCTAAGGTCTTCCGCAACACAGTGAGCCAAGGAGTAATCGGCCGAAACCGTGAACAGATCTTGTTGTTCTTCTCGAGTGACTCCATACCGAGCTTTTTTACCGCTCGAATATAGATACCTACATGAAGTCTTCAAAAGGCAAGTCGTCTTCCGGCGGATTAACTCTCCTTACTCTAGCATCGTCTATTCGATCATTGTTTCCAGCGTAAGGAGCCAATCGGTTGAAATGGATCACTTTCGGCTTTCCTCTTGGTTGTTTCCTGATCCTGTAGATGATGTCATTTATTCGATCCATGACTTCGTATGGTCCTTCCCATGAAGTCTGCAGCTTCGGTGAATAACCACGACGGCGCTGAGGGTTGTATAACCAAACTAGGTCTCCAGGTTGAAATCCTCCATTTTCCGCCTTGATGTCGTATGCCTCTTTCATTCTATCACTGGCACTCTGGATGTTTAAACGAACTCGATTATGAATGTCGCTCATTTTTCTACGTAAATTGCTGACATAATCTTCTCCAGCAATATCTTCCCCTGGTAGGCAACCAAACCTCAGGTCACAAGGTAGACGAAGTTCACGCCCCATAACAATGCTAGCGGGTGTCTGGCCGGTTGTATCGTGGATAGAAGAACGGTACGCCAACAGGAACAGATGAAGGAAGCGGTCCCAGTCTCTTTGGTGATCAGAGACTACCTTGGACAGGTACCGGTTTATCGTTCGATTCATTCGTTCTACCATTCCATCAGACTGCGGATGTAATGCAGTCGTCCTCGTCTTCCGAATGTTAAGAATTTTACAGACATTCTGGAACAGTATAGATTCAAAGTTCCTGCCTTGGTCTGAATGCATCTTCATTGGCACACCAAAACGACAAATCCACTCCTTAATAAGGGCATCGGCCACTGTGGCAGCTTCCTGGTTTGGCAAGGCGTACGCTTCCGCCCACTTACTGAAGTAGTCCATTACAACGATGATGTATTTATTTCCAGATTCTGTTTCCGGAAATGGACCCGCCACGTCGATTGCAATTCTCTCAAATGGGCTGCCCACATTGTACTGTCGCATTGGGGCTTTTGGGCGCTTCTGGGGTCCATTGCTTGCCGCGCAAACGGCGCACTTCTTGCACCATTCCTTCACATCTCGTTGGCTGTTGACCCAATAAAACCGTTTCCTAAGTCTTCCGAGCGTCCTGGTCACCCCAAGATGTCCTCCAGTAGTTCCATCATGGATTTCCTGCAGCACTTCGGGTATCCTGTTTCTGGGGATTATTATCTGCTTCCGGTCTTCCCCCCCCTTCTGGCATCTCCAGAACGCGCTTTAGAAGTCCGTCACTTAAGATGATGGAATTCCATTGGGCCCAGTACGATTTCACATTCGGCGAATATTGGGCGACTTCCTGCCACGTTGGTTTACGGTCTTTCTTCTTCCAATCGATGATAAGCTTCAAATCCGGGTCCCTTTCCTGGTCTTGTTGAATCTCAGTGGATTGCCAATGATCATCCACAATTGTAGTCCTACGAAAACATACATCTTTTTCTTCAGTCCTATTTATTTTTCTAAATAAAGCCGGCGCCACCTGGCTTCCTCTGCAACGACTTTGTATATGTCCCAGCTTTCCACATCTCCAACATCGGATTTCCTTCTTCTCTGGTAAATTCTCTTTAAGAACTCGCCTAATTGCTTCAATTATCCTGGGTTCTTCCTTCTTTTCTTCTTCTTCTCTCCTAATTCTAGGCTGGCTCCTGCAGCTCTGCTTTGCCGCCTCGAATTCCAAAGCTCGAGCCAATGCATCAACCAGTTGGCTCGGACGAGCCAGTGTTAGAGCCTGTCTTGTTTCGTTGTCTCGAAGTCCATCCAAAAAGGCTTGAACCGCTAATCGTTCCATAACGGTCGTTGGAGTAGCTGGATATGCTAGCCGGACCAAGCGTGCAATATCAGCCTCGAATTCTTGCAAAGTCTCGTTAGATTTCTGGCAGCGATTCTTCAGTTGGGAATGGTACACATGTTCCAGATGCGTCTGGCCATATCGCAGTTCCAGATGTTTAACCAAAGCTTCGTAATCTTCTTGTTCGTTGGGAGAGAGTGTCTGCAAGATGTCCGTTGCATCTCCGCGTAAAGCCAGAGTCAATGCTGTAGCTTTTTCTTCTGGTAGCCAGCCATTTGCTTTTGCTGCTGCCTCAAACTGACGAATGTAATTTGTCCAGGAAGTTTTTCCATCGAACTGAGGTGGTTTCATCCGTACTCGGCTCCCCTCCAGCATTGTTCCTGGTTCCGCCAGCATCATGGGTAGATTTACAGCTGTCAGTTTTCTATTTATTTCTTTAATTTTGACTTCTAATTTATCATCCAATTCCATCCTTACGTCATTCAATTTCTGTCCTACTTTCTCTTCTAATTCATTTACATTATCTAGAATCTTCTATTCCAAATATTCTTTTAAATTTTTAGAATTTTCCAGTATTTTCTGTTGTAAATCATCCTTTAAATTGTTGGAATTTTCCACCATTTTCTGTTGCAAATCG